ATTAAACAGTTAAAAATCACTCACCCATGATCGCCACTCAAGTCGCTGGATGTCCTGTAGGTATTTGTAGACGTGCCGTCGCAGTGCCGTCGTTTCCTGGTGCTGCTGCTGCAGTTGCCGCGGTGTTGTCTCTGACGAGGACGATGCCCCGCGTTCATTGGTGAACGGTGAACACCCGAGGTGATATCCTGTCGGCGTCGCTACCGCGGATTCCGCCCTTGACGGCCTACCCTCGGACGGAGAACCGACGCCTCAATCGACGAACGATAATTTGCGTATCGGCGGGTGAAAGTTCTTAGTTTTATCTCTTCCTTCGCGAAGTTTCCTTCTGCGGAAAGGAAGACGGACGATCGGCAATCAGCCGCTTTCCCGTACGATCGCGATCGAGCGAATGATCATGGACCACGAATCGCGCACCTTGACTTCCGGAGCGAGCCTAAGACTGAGACACGAGATAAGATATCATCCACCTCCGCAAGAAGAGGGGCTGGAAGGGGCCTTCGGCTTTTCCCAAAATGATAAAACTCCCGAGGAAAGAAAGTGAGATATTTATCGATATGTAAAAATGCTCTTTACAATGACTTCAACTCGGAAATTAAAGGAGGAAAGACCGATACAAGCCAGGTGCGATAAGAAACCTCGGCGATCTTAATAGCTAATTTGAAACAATTAAATATAAATTTAACACAAATTACTTGTTTACTAAAGACTCGTATATTTAATTTATGGTCTTATTCATAATCTATATTAAAGCTAAAAACGTCTTGAATAAAGATTGCGTTTTTATGGATTTTTTATCGTATTATAATCTGCATTGATTTGTTATTTCTGATTTCGTTATTAATAAACTGTATTTTTTTTAAGTTATTTTACATGTCTTTCTTTCGATTAACATTTTTTCATCAATTTTTGGTAGCATGCAGAATTTCAGGATGCATTCTGCCTGCAGAATGATTGCTATATTTATGACGTGAACTTTCGTAGATTCGTAATTTACGATCCGAGCACACGGAAGTTGACGGGCATATCGTTTGTTTGATCATTATTATTTCGTCGCGATTTCACAAGATAATATCCTTTCATGAAATTGTGTCACGCGTAATATTTTATTACGTCATTATTTTGCCCGATCTCAGCTGATAAGAGATAAGAGATGTGCAGCATCAATGTGGCACCAAGGATGTCTGTCATATTAATTTATTATAGCGATATATCAGTTACAAATATATTATTTATCACTATATATCCATCAAATTAATAATAAATCTGCGGCAAATATTTTCAATGTTTGCCGCGCAATAAATTATTTATAAATTTTTATTTGTTAATTCAATTATTACCGAGTTCAAGCTACGCCATGAAACAATTTGTAAGGATCGTAGATGTTAAAATCAAAATACAAAATATATTTTTTTATTATTTATCTGATTGCGTCAATGATTATAAATATATTTATTATACTTCTTTTTATATGTTTACTCTCTGTGCAATATCTTAATAACGTTTTATCATCATTATTCATATTAACAAATCCGTTGTTCCGTGAATTGGCATGAGAATGATGCTGAACGCTAAATATAAAAGATACTAACAATCTTTGATCTCAAGGATTAACATTACTTATCGAGATACGTCATACAGAAGATCTATGATGTCAAAGATATGTGATATCTCATATTGGAATATAAAGGAATGATGATGAATATGAATATTTGTAAGATGGTATCGCGACATTCACAAACGTTCAATGTAGCTAAGATAAAAATACATAGGTTTAGAACGTTCCATTTCACAGGTAATTTTGTGAAATTTTTTTGTATAAATTAAAAATTAAAAAATTATCACACAACCTGCATAATTTTATAAGTAATGTAGCATCATTTTTATGTTCATTCACGTGACAAAATTATTTAGCTTTGATTAACTCTGTTGCAAGTCTATTGGTAACAACACGTAAGTCGATGGCAGTAACAAAGTTTATTAAATTTTTATATATAAATTAAAAAATAATTAATAATAATTATTAGGATCGAGCCGTAAATACTTTTTTATATATTTTTTTTAAATTTTTCGAGTTTTAATGAGCGAAGTAAGTAATTCAAACGCTCGCAAAAAGACTTTTCCAAAACATCTCAATCATGAAGTTTCTCGAAGTTTCATGAAATTTCATGTGTTTGGAGAAAATTTCAAATTCGCGTTGGAACAATGCGAAATATTTTTCTGTTGAATTTTATTTAATTAAAACTAGAATGTCAAGGGTCTTCGAAAAAATGATTTAAAAAGATTTCTCTTTCGGATGAAGAAACGAGTATATCGAAGCCCGTGGCGACAATTTCGCGCTTCGCTGAGAAGCTTCACTCTGTTTTCAATTTTACTTGACACGATATGCCAGACCTTTTACATCAAAACGTAATACTTTAATCCTAACATATATCTCCGTAACGTTCAGAGTATCACGTTCGCAAAACCGTGACCGATGATTTACTCGTAAAAACGCCAGCGCGACGTTAAAAGATTGTAAAACGGTGGCGCGTGAAAAACACCACCCTCCCCCATTACGTATTATTTATTTAACGCGCTTCTCTTTCCTGACAAACAAGGTCTTTACGTGCGGCATTATCTGGCAATCGGCGGGAATAGGGAAGCGGCCTACTTTTGTCTATTCATCACCTCCGCGCGATTAATCCCGTGTTTTGAATTCTTGGCACTTTCCACGTGATAAAGTCGTGATCGCCGTCGTCGTCGCCGTCTTGGGAATATAAAATAAAATGAGCAATTCCGTATTATCCCCGGAAAATGTAGGCGACGACGATTGCAGCGAAACACAAACAGATTCAATGCGCAATCCGCTATTTGTGTGAACGACAACGGGGTCCATATCTGATCGGAAACAAATTTGATGTGCGTAAATAGCTACGTAATCAGATCGACGATCGTAAGGTTTTACTAAATCTAATCTAAGATTATTATTATTATTATTATTATTATTATTATTATTATTATTACATTCAGGCGTATCCGAATCGAAAAGCGTTAGTCATTGTCTTCTTTATCATTTCAAATTTTCCTAACACTAAACACTGTGTTTTTCTAACTGCGGTCATTCTAAAGGAATTAAAAATTTAGGACCTTCGCCGGGAAAAATATTGTAGTTCTCGTTTTTAAAAATATTTTTCTGAGAAGACTGAACATTAGAACATTAAAATTTTTACCTTAGAATTTTCTCTAGAAATTTCAGGAAACTTCGAGAGATTTCACTTATGATTGAGATGTTTTGGGAAAGTCTCTTCGCGGATGTTTGAATCATTCATTATTTGAGAGTGGATATTTTATGCCGATTAAAAAGAATCGATCGATTTCGTTATGTTGACAAGACTCGTTGACGGGCACGTGCACGACTTTCGATTGCGATCACGAGTGGAAAATCCAAAAATAGATGACGCATAGATATATCTTGATACTTATTTATATAAAATATATCTCTCTTCCAAAATCAATTAAATAAAAGATTAGAAAGAGAGAATTGCAATGCGGTTTTAAAAAAAAAATCATCAAGTTGTAGAAGTTAATACTTCGATAAGGCATTAAGACTAAAGACAAATCCGATTTAAAATAAAACACTTTCAAGCTTTTGCATTCTCAAAAGAATTATTTTTTACTTCTTGCTTTTGATGATTTTCTAATATCATAAATTTGGCTTTTAAAATTGGAATTAATAATTTACTTCAGTTTGTATTTATATTTATATCTTCTAAAATCTCCTGGAGAACGTGGTACAAGTGCATGTTATTTTATTTTAAGAGTGTGTTGGAGTGTCTGTGTTTGCATACATACTTTTAAAATGTTTAATAATAATCATATTTATAGGTATTTAAAGTGTCACTTGAGATATATTTCTTATCCAGGATAAATAAGTATCGTGATTGCGACTATCCGATTTGAGTTGTCTAGATTTAATCTCAGCCATGATAACTGAGAATTCCTTTATTTGGGTGCCACCGATTAATCCTATCGTCTACTAATTGCGTAGTGATGTAATACAGGAAAACACAAAGAATCGCAGCTACCAAGATCGTTGTCTTTGGAAGAGAGATTGAAAGATTATTCGATTATATTGGCTCGCACCGAGGATTAAAGAAGATTAGTCTCTTTTTAATCATTATTGCCGCAAGGAGTTTCTCATCAATTCACACAAATCATCAATTCGCTCGGTAAGTCGTCAGCATTATAATTATTTTGGTGTTAATCTTCTGGATATCTCTAGTATCGCAAAATATTGGTCTGGTAATCTTGATATCATCAAAGTGATATTTTTATTTTATTCCACGCAACATTTTTGATGAATTTTTTTCTTATTGTTATCTTATTATTGTCATGGAACTGTATTATTCAATCGCGTAATCAATAACGGAATGTTGATTTGTTTTTTTAGCCCCTGCTTGTGATCGAACGTATAAATGCTTGAAGGGAAGAGAGAACAGATACATTTCTCACCCTCCTCAGAGAGATGCTGAAGAGGCGCGTGCGGTGGTCGATCTTGGAGTACCACGGAAGCCCTTCGAAATCGGAGCGAGATATGTCAACGAAGGGGTGCGATATTTTTTCACGGGTGACAACGGTCTCACCATTCACCACTTTCGGTGGCCGCGACCCTAACTGCTTTGGGTACGATGCGATATTTAGGCGAATATGGGCCAATAGCAAAGGAATGCGCAGGGTCGACAATAGATTCTTCAGCGCCACGATAGATTCTTTGACGAGCAACACACGAATGAAGGAATCGAGCAATATCAACAAATATCAAAAAAACCCTCGTCGCTTCCCTGTTGATGTTTTAGATAAAATTAATCGGAATTTATGAAAAAGGCTTAAGATACTTCTTCCTTTAATAGAGACAATATCAAGTCGATAACATCTAATTCTGAGGAAGAAAGGAACAGAGAAAGATATGGAATTTAATCTTATTCGCAAATTGCACATAATATAATATTGAAAATAATGAAGCTATAAGTTTACGATGTTTGTACAATTCAAGTTAAAAAAATGAAAGTAAAATAAGAGAGAAATAAAATTAGTATCACTAAATCATTAAATTATGTATCTTTAAAAAAACATATACAACAAAAAATTACACGAACGTATGTAATTGTAAAATCTTCCAAAATTCGAAAAGAAAGTGTCTGTTAATAAGATTTAATTAATGACCTTAGTTAAAGTCATTCTGATTGATAAGAACTATTTAGAAACTGTGCAGTTTCGTTTTCAATTTTTTTTTTCAATGAATTGAAAAAGGACATTTAGAAATAACAAAATCGTATCTATTTAAAAAGATGATATGATTCCTTTTAATAAATTAGATAGAATGTGAATACATTTTTAAAGTAATTATTATTTTCAATGATAAATCAAAGATTCTTCTTGAAGATATCCGGTCCGATCTTTCGCGCCGGCCCTGCGGAAACGATTGGCGCGTGTCGGAACACCCGGGATGCCTTAATTAGAACAAGTAAGGTACGAGCGAAAACTATTAATTGCGACTCTATTGTCGCCGGCCAAATCGACGAGACGACAGGTGGACGTATGCACGCACGTGAACGCCTCCGTTTGTCTCTCGTTGACATCCATCTCATCAAATTCTCCTCGATTAGACACCCTTGGACGAAACCATTCCGGTGAACCATTTCGGATCCCTCTTACAGGACCTCCAAATCTCATCGCGACTTTTTGAACATGTCCGGTTGCGATACGAAATCCCGTTGGTTCATCTTTCCCGTTGGTTCATCGTCGATAACGCGTTCCCTCGAATATTTAACATCGTCGACGATATCAGTCAACATGGCAGCGACAATGAATATTGATCCCCCGCGGTTTAAAAGCGCGGAAAATAGCACCGCGTGTTAATGAAGCTCTCTTCTGATTACGCGCGGACTCGCGGACGTAATTTCCTGCGAGGAAATTGTATCCTGCCGCACTCGTTCGCGTTCTTTTAAAGGGCAGAGGAAAGAGGGTGCTTTCAATCGGCTTCTCTCTCCGTCCTTCGTAGAAATAGACTCGAGGTGTATTACTTCCGAGGACGGAGAAATCGTCGCGAATTGATTTTAAATGTTTTACAAACGCGAGAGCTTGAGAGTAAGTCCAAGACTAAAGCTCGAAGAAGCATCGAAGAAAGCAAGATCCTTATTTATTTTGAAGCTTCTTCCCCCATGTCTTACTGATCACTGAAGAATTAAATACATGAAAAGAACGATTCTGTTTGAAATATCGAAAAATTTAATCAATCACTTATCACAGATCTGAAATTTATTTCGTTGGATCATTAGAATAATTATATAAAACGCTTAAATGTGATAATAATTTTTACCAGCAACCAGTTTAAACATTTTACATAATTATTTTGGTCTAATAAAATTATTTTTAGATCTATATTTGATCAAATTTTTCTAAATCGACAAAACTATTCTTTCTAAATGCTAAAGGCATTATTTTTTTTTACAAAAAGTTTTCACTTTTATTGTAAGATATCTTATTTAGAGAAATTATTTGGAAAAGATTAGTCTAAAAAAAATTATATGATATTATAAGATAATTTACATATTTTTAAGAGATTCTTTTACAGATGTTACGTAGAGATAAAAAAAGAAGGACTGAGAAGCCATCCCTCCGGGATGTTACGATTTAATTTTACGACATTCTAAAGAGAATTCAGGAGGTTGACACTGTTGAAGCTTCGTCTGAGATATAGAGCACAAAACGTTAGCGGCCATGAAGACCTACAAAGTGTGGAGCTTTCGTTGCGTGAATGGCCTTGGTCGAAGCTACGTATTAGGCCGATAAACGGTGTATCGATCGATTCACCGTTGTCCCCATAAAACTCATCCATTTCCTTATCCACCCGTCGTTTGCCCTGTGATTTATTTATTTGGCGAGAGTGAGATAGTAAAAAGAAAGCTACAGAGAACGAGATGAATAGACCTGTTCGTGTTTGCTCGATTTACCGAGACGTATTTACTGCTACACGCCGGTAATCGGATTGTGTATGCCGAGAGAAAGAGAGAAAGAGAAAGAGAGGGAGAGAGAGAGAGAGATGTCTCTCCCTTATTGAACATCACGTAAACCTCCTGCCGTTGCCACGAGGAAAAATGCAATAGTAAAGCTCAATGAATTTTCCGGATCTATTCGTAGAGACAAAATGATCGTTGTAGGACACGCTCTAGGCTGGGAGAGACACCGATAATGAGAAATCTCTTCTTCGGCCAATCGTAAGGGAACCTTGATATTTCTGATATTTCTTGTTGATAAAAACTTATAAAGTAATCTTCTTATTTTACTCTTTCGAGCACATCAATTCCACAAAAAGTGACTCCGTAATAAATATTGCTCTACGTTTCCTGCTTCAGTCCTGTTCCTGAAATTGAAGAGATCGTTTCTGGCATGTTAATTGGGAGGATTTCGAGGACAACAAACCATCCCCCATGGGGGATGGTACGCGGAAGGCTCACTTCGGCGAGTCGGAGATCGACGATCCGCCCACTCTCGCGTACACCTCTCCTGAGATTGCGCGGGCAATTTTCTCGAGCTTTCGTGCCTGCTTCCGCGACGAGCTTGCAGCAGGCGTGCTCGATCAGTCGTCCGTCGTCCGTCCGCGTCCGCGTTTTTTTCGCGCGAGTCGCGATGTGCTCCGGCCGGCTCGCAAGCGACTCGTACTTCTGCCGAAGTTCTGTCAACGAACAGAATCGAACGACAGTTTGGAACGTTTAAGACAATTTAAGCTCGAGAACTTTTCGCGCCATATTATCACTCTGATTACACATATTTAATTAGTGTAAAATGTAACGTGGAATTTTCTAATTTGAGAGATCTGCCTCATATTATAATAAAGCCAAGTTGATTACTCGACATGCAAAAATGATAAAGATTAAAAATACGTCTTTATTTTATATTTACGTGTCACGTTTATTGAAATAAATTAGAAAGTAAAGTCGAAGCTTTTAAATTAAACTGCGCTTTCTGTTGAATTGCTTAACGATATTTTTGCAATTGTACGCTTATAACATTTCGCGAGAAAGAGTTGACCATGGAAATCGCGATTAGATCGCGGTGTTGCCTCTTTGAACAATAATGCATTTCAATACACGCGAGTGCCCCGACGTTATATCGCTCAGCCTGCGTCGCGCGAGATAAGAGTTGACCATGGTGGACAAATTGCACGAGTATGAGGGACTCACGGGTAGGATTCATGGTGTTCGCGATACCATCAGGGAACGATGGAGCGTGTGGAAAGAGTGGAAAGACAGCTTGAATCTGAATCAAGGCCTGGACGGATTGAGAAATCATCTACGAAAGCCACCGAAGTTGGAGCGCACTTTAGAGGACTATTCGCACATCTACAGGTGAAGAATTCCTTTTTGTTTAGTTTCGAACATACATTAGTGCATTATTAGATTAATTTCTTACATAAGCATAACACAATTTAACGTATACAATTTTAAAATAGCTTTATGCATTAAACTTCGGTATTATAATTTAATATTTATGTTGCTCATGCTTATGTATAGAAATATGAATTATAATATAATATAATTTGATTAGATTTTTTTTTTCTCTATTCTGTCTATTTTTCTAATAATCCCCAGAAAGAAAACCCGCGCCGAACTGGTGAGAGTGTCGGCAGCGGTGATGGGGATCGAGTTTTCATACGCTGCGGAGACCGCCTTCGTCTCGCCGACGCTGCTCAAGATCGGTGTCGATCACCAGCACATGACTCTGGTATGGGCACTCAGCCCCCTCGTAGGCTTCTTCGTGACGCCTATCCTCGGCAGTATGAGCGATCGCTGTAGGCTCAAGTCTGGCAGAAGGCGACCTTTCATTCTCCTGTTGGCTCTCGGAGTCTTCATAGGCAAGGCGCAGGCTCCTTTATCCTTTTTTCATCTTAATATTTAAAAATATCTTTTGCTATACCTGTCATTTCTGTCTCCTCTATCCAAATACAAATTTGTTTGATGTTCTTCTGGTGGAAACTTTGAGGTGTTACGCATTCGCATTTTCGTAGGTCTCATCTTGGTGCCGAACGGCGAGCATATCGGTTACTTATTCGGCGACACGCCATTCCGCACGAACGACACGATCCCACTTGGACATCGCACAACGGCGAAGGAGGCGCCCGAACCCGTTGGAAAGGCTTCCTCGCACTCCTGGGGCATCTTCTTCACTATTCTCGGCACGGTGCTGCTCGATTTCGACGCCGACGCCTGTCAGAGCCCGGCGAGAGCGTATCTCCTCGACGTCACTATACCTGGTAAGATATATTAAGACTTAAAGTACGTCCTGTTTTTTTTCGAATTGATAATTTTAAAATTTAATTCTTTTAAATATATAATGCGAAAAAAATAGACGAGAGATAATTATAACAATTTTACGAAATTTAGAAGATATTTTTTTCTATTTTATTAACGTCCGAATTGTTCAGAGGATCATGCGAAAGGTTTAAGCACGTTCACCATAATGGCGGGCTTGGGAGGCTTCATGGGCTACGGTTTGGGCGGCATTAATTGGGACGTTACTTCGCTCGGTGTTCTGCTGGGTGGACATCTGCACGCGACTTTCACTCTCATCACGATCATCTTCCTCATCTGCGTGATCTGCACAGTCACCAGCTTCAAGGAGATCCCTCTCGAATTACTCGAACGAGATCAGTACCGTCAAGTAGATGAGTCGAGGGTGAAGGGCGTTTCTACAAAATTTTATTCATCCTCCCATTTTATTTTTCCTTTGATAAAACTGATATTCTTTTAGGCTACGGAAGAAATCCAAAGAGTGGAGGACGAGCGAAAGGAACGCGAGAAGATCATCTCCGAGGAATCGAAAACGTACGGTGCGCTCGATGCAGAACACGAAACGGAAGTTCCTTCGAAAACAGAAGTGAGCACCGAACCTATTCTCTGAGATCTGAATCCAATTTCTTATTTTACGTTCTTATTTTTTTATTTTATAGCATGAGATTAAAATGAAAAGCGCCGAGCTATCTAATCATCGTGAAAATAAGATTGAAAAGTCAGTGAAAACACTTTTAGAGAATGATTGTTAATAAACGCTAGTATAAATTATCAATTAAGGAATTCGCCCTCCGTCCGCTCCAGACACAGCCCTCCGATCCTCCCGAAGAACGTCCGATTCCCGAAGGCAGCCACGTCAATTACGGCTTCGACGATATCGGGGGGGGTGAAGTAAATCACAGGGCGACCCTGAAGGAGTATCTGCTGTCCATTGTCTACATGCCGCGCAGTCTTCGCCAGGTTTGTCTAACGAATCTATTCTGCTGGATGGCACACGTATGCTACTCCCTGTACTTTACGGACTTTGTGGGCGAGGCGGTGTTCGGTGGGAATCCACGGGCGCCCATGGACACCGATGAGCGTGAGCTTTATGAGGAGGGTGTGCGATTCGGATGCTGGGGCATGTCCATGTATTCCCTATCCTGCTCATGCTACTCGCTGATCATCGAGCGACTGATCCAGCGTTTCCGGGCACGTAAAGTAAGCTCCGTTACACTTAATCGATTTTGGCATCGATTTGGTGCTCGTCAGTCTGAATTTGATATTATTTATCTATTTCTCTCTCTTTTTAATAGCTTTATAATATAAAATGATTTTAGATGATAAGTCACGTGTACTGATTCTCGAAAAATCTTATGAGTATAGAATTGCAAATATAAATAATTAATTTTTCAAGATAAAATCCGCGAACGATATTTTTGCAAGGTCTCATCAAATATTTTCATGCACATCCAGGTTTACATATACGGACTGCTCTTCTACAGCATCGGCATGCTCCTAATGGCCCTGACGAAACATCCGGTGGGCGTCATCATCTTCTCGTGGACCGCTGGTGTCATGTATTCCACATTGTTTACTATGCCCTATTTATTGGTGGCGCATTATCACGCATCCTCGACTTTTGCCCTAACAACTGCGGGCGATGCGATTTCCGGCGGTTTCGTGCGCGGCCTGGGAACTGACGTTGCCATCGTCTCTTCTATGGTATTCCTGGCGCAGTTTCTGCTATCCTGTTGTCTGGGTACGATCGTCAGCCTCACAGGCACCACCGCGGCGGTGGTCTATGTCGCCAGTATTCTGGCAATATGCGGTGCGGCCTCAGCCACGCAGATCATGTATCTGGATCTGTGAATCTCGCTTGTCAATCAATCATTTCAATGATTAATTGTAATGTTTCATGTAGCTGTCCATAATCCATCGACTGCGTGAAAGAAAGTAGAATAGTCGTTACATTCGCATACAAAATGTAAAATGTTTCGTTAGTTGCAAATAATTGTGAGATAGTGTGTTAAGTTGGAAAGTAAGAATGGAGAATAGATTTGTAAGATAATCGTGGCCAATTAATTATCATTATACTAAACATTAATCGATAATTGTCAATTTTAGTGATTGCCTCATCTATAGTTTTGTCCGCTTCGTTTAAGTAACTTTGTCGTTATCGTTTCAACGTATATTTTATTAGCTTTTTAATACTGTTGATTAATATTTATTGTATTAATTATATACGAATTGTTAAGTGTTTCATAAATATACTGATGAAATAGCTATTTAGGAATTTGTTCTAAAATAATATATATCTTTATTAAGTAACTAAAAGAACGGATGTGTATACAATGTATAACGTAACAAGTAAACGATCGATCAACATTAGTCCAAGTTGCACGAATCCGGATGATTCATGTGCGAAGATTATTAATACATTTTTCCAAGATATCTTTCCTGATCCTTGGATAATCCGTATTCTGTTTCAACACTTCGTTACACGCGTCAATCGCGTCAGCGTAGGCTTTCGCCTTTAAACAGCAGTAAGCCAACTTGTAGCCAACTGATAGCTTCGTTTTGCCGCCGCATTTCCAGGCTTGAGCGTATCTCGCTGCCGCATCGCGATAATTCTGATCCTTCTCGGCAATGTAGCCTGAAAGAAAAAATATATTAAAATCATTAAAATTTTAAATCTATTTTAAACACATAATAATTTGTAATAGATTTATAATAGATTTTATATGTTATCTTTTTAATTGTTATCTGACCCGATAGTTCGTGAGCCCGCACGCAGGTAGCGTTATGTTGCAGCACTCGTTTTAGCAGCTCATTCGCCAATTCATATTTACTGGATTGCACGTAGATGTCTGCCAACAGTAACCAGCAACGCTCCAAGTATTCGGCGTCCTCAAAAGTCCAAACGTTCTTACTGACGCGCTTTAAATGATTCCGGGCGCGCGGAGTTTGCTTTAGCAGGATATGTGCGGTAGCCATACCAAGAGCAGGTCCTACATGATCTCTCAAATTTTCCTGACTAGCCAATGCAGTACAATCCTGCAGAACTTTCTCGATGTTGGATTTTTGCTTAGTGGCCAACAGAAAGAAGTTGCTGAGAAGCTTATGAGTCAGTTCCTCGTGAGGACTTCCCTTGGGATTCAATTCCTACAATATTTCTGTTATTAAAATCATTAAAATAAAAAAGTTAATGCTTTAAATAAAAATTGAACCCATTGATATTAAACGTACTTGCAGCAATCGATAGGCCGTCCTCAAAGCCATTGTTCTCGAATCCTGATATTCAGCATCTTCGTCATTGAAGGCCTCGTTTGATAGAGTAGTGTCATCGTCCGGATCCAAACAAATCTCAATCATGTTATAGATTGCTTGTTGGCCCCATTCTGGATCGCGTCGCGCGAAATTGAAATTGCGAAGAGCAGAGTTCAGCTTGCCGGTTCGCCAATCTAGCAATCCGGCACAATAATAAAAACCAGCCTCGACATTGCCGATGCCCATCGCGACCTGCGCACGTTGCAACCATTCGTCAAGATCATCCATAGCACCTATGATACAGATTATGTGTTAATATAATGTTATTAAAATATCTCCGATAAAAATGAAAAATTTGAAAAATGCGAAACCTGTCCTGCGCGAAACTTCTATCAATCTTGCCAGGGCGGTCCAATAAGTAGGTTGGCGTATTAACAATTGTCGAAAATGGAATGCCGCGGTCTCGAAATCCACTTTACGAAACGCGAGGTCCGCCATCATCACAGATGCAGCCTCGTTATTAGGATCGGCGTTCAGCAAAATAGAACAATTCTGTGCGCACCGGTCTAAGTTGTTCATCTAATAAAGAATTATCTGTTAGTAATTTTTTGTAAAATTAATTCTGATAATCAATAAACAGAAACCAACATTTCATTTTATGGATTCTCCTATTAATAGGAAATCCCTTCCGTTCTTATCCTTTCCGTTAGATATTAAGATTCTAGATTAGAATAAATCTCGAGATTTTGAAATTTAACTAGTCCATATTTTATTCACCTGCATATACAACTTTGCCAAGGAGAGTAGAGCATTCACGTCGGTAGGTTTGTGAGCCAATGCTTCCTTGTAATACACGATGGCTTCATCATAATTGCGTAAGGTCGACGCGTAGTCAGCCATTGTTAGGCAGATATTTGCCAACATATGTTTCTGATCTGCGACGTCTGGCGAAATGGCGATACGCTGGATATATCGATGCTGATTCTCCTTGGCTTCCTTCAAAGTAGCCAATGCGCCTCTAACGTTGCCCGATTTCTCACGCACCTTGGCGAGTAATAATAATTCTTGTCCTCTCATCTCTAAACTTAGAATATCGGTCTCGCCTCGCTTGTCTAGAATAAAATTAAAATAGATATATAATATATTTATTTGGTCTAGTATATTACAATTAAAGTAAAAATAAAATAAAAATATAAAGTAATATTATTAATAGTAATACTATTAATTGTAATAGACAAAAAAATTACTTTGCAGCTCTTGCACCAAAGTGGCTTCCGCTTTGTCATACTGTTTCATCTTCATATACAATTTAGCCAGATCTAATTTTAAGGCTGCACAATTTTCCTGTTTCACTATATCCTTGTAATAATTGATCGCTTTTGCGTATTGATGTGCCTTGACAAGCGCCTTACCCATGTTGTTCGCGATAATCACTTTATCAATTGGATTTTGTGAGAGCGCTTGCTCGTATGCCTCTATCGCTCTTTCAGGTTCTTGTATGGACATGTAAGCGTTACCCAGCATACTATACGTTCTCGGTCCGGGACAATGCTCAACCAATTCTCTAAAAAGCAAACAGCAATAATGTAACGTTCATCCTATAATAAGTCCTATACAAATAATATATTCAATAAATATAAAAACTAATTAATAGAACATAAATGATAAAAATCAAATTTTATACCTAAAACATTTGGCGAACGCCTGACGATCCTTCCTGTAATTTAAATTGATTTCAGCCAATCTAGTGTGTGCCTGCAAGTAATATGGTTGCCCTGGATGAATATTTTGCAAGCAGCTTATAGCATTCTCCAATTCTTTCATGTCTAGATAGACCTCGGCAGTACCAATAGTGATTCTTCCAAGCTCAGTAGTATTGGCAAGATTTATTTTCGCCTCGTCGATTACTGCCAGTGCCTCAGTAAAACGCTTTGCCTTGCTATATGCCGCAATCAGTTCTAAATACAAGGTGGCTCGGTCGGATGTGGACATGTCGGATTTTCTATTGCTGCCCCCAGTCAATCCGGCCAGTGACATGGCCGTCTGGCAACTTTTAATACAGTTCTCCAAATCACCAGTTTCTCGCTGCACCATGCCGATGATCAGATGATAGACTGGTTCGTCTCGGATCTTGAAGTTATAGCTCAGACCAACTTCTAAGCTTTGCGAAGCGAGCTGGTACTTGCCCTGATAGGCCAGAATTTGAGCCATTGTAAGATGAGCCTGTGCATTAGATGGTTCTACTGTATCCAACAATTTCCTCAGCAAAATCAACGCGCCTTCGTAATCTCCACTCTGCATTCGGGCCTTGCTGAGGAGCAGCAGAGCCACGCTGGATCCCGGACAGGCCTCCACTAGCCGTTCCAACAAACGGACACTCGGTTCCTTCTCGACTGCACTACCCAGCTTAAAAAATATGACAAATTTAAGCAAAAAGAAATAATTACTCTTAAAAATAATTTACTTTTTTTGACTCAACGTCATAATATTGTAATAAATAAACTTGTAAATACTTGTATATTTGATTTATTGAATTTTTTCAAAGAAGACAGTCACCTCGTCGCTCATCGGGGATTTATTCAAAGAATACATTAAACGTTGCTTCGCAATCTCAAGACACAGATCTGGTTTAAGCTCGGTGAGATATTCATAGCCATAGGGAAGTCCTTCGCTGCTCTTCAACAAGACATTCGCCGCCGTATCCAGATAACCGAGTGCCTTAACGCGATTTTCATTAGAAGCAATCTTTGCAGACATAAACAACAATCGTACATTCCTCGAATGTGGTTGTATTTCCATCATAATCTCCACCTGCGGGATATGATACACAAATTAGCTTCTCTAACATCAGATCAATCATATCAATTTAGAAATTTTTTTCAGAGAATTACGTGTATATTTTGTCAATTGTGATTTAATTCACCTGTTGTCGCGCCTGGTCCAGATCCTCTGCGGATCCCTCTAATAACTGACAATGAGCTAATCCCATAAGCGCTGTGAAAGAAGACGGATCCGCGCGAATGGTGCTTTTATACCAGCGTTCGGCGTCCTTGACATTATTCAGCGCAGCATACAGATCGCCTAGCTCCGCCATCAACTCAGCGTTGCTTGACGATGTCGCTTGCAGCATCTTCTCAGCCATGCGTGCCAGCTCTGACAAGATCCCGTGATCCTGGAACGCTATACCAGCGAATAGTCGCAAGTTCTCGATCAACAGAAATACGTTCTTTGGTTCAGCAAGCAGCAAATTACGCAGAAACAGCTGCAACTGCGGCAAACCCTCGCTGGGATTGCCATCCCTGCATAAAGCTACCACGGAGCTCGCCTTGATAGCATCCAAGTTGTTTGATTCAATCGAGAGTATACGGTTCACCATTTCTAATACTTGCTCCCAATCTTTCGCCGCCAGTAGACACTTCATCTTCTCTATCAATGGCAGCGGTTGCTTGGAGTAACGTACGATCAAAGAGTTTAATATGAGAGTAGCTTCCGAATAGTCCCCGACACGTTGTTTCGTTTCTGCGGAGCCTAACAGCGCGCTCAAGTTCCTCGGCTCTTCCTTCAGAACGGAATCAAAGAGGTTTCCTGCCTCCACTGCATCTGCGCCGGATTTTAAACTAAGCTCCAGCCATCCCTTGACAAGTAACACATTGATATTCATAGGTTTCAGCTTGCACGCCCTGTCCACGTATTCTTTCGCCTTGTCCGCTCGACGAGAAAAAGTAACATAGACGCTGCGAGATACAACGCGACACAAGAAGCTTTCCTGCGCTCATCTCGTATTCTGTTCTCCATCTGAGTTACAGTGCTCCTCTCTATGTCCCCATCGACCAGGGCAATGTTCTGTACGAGTAATGCAGGCAATATAAAATCCGCATAGTTTAACAAACTGGCACTCTCCTTGATGGCCTCGTGGCTTTTGCCAACGAGAACATATGCCAGACAGAGCAGGAGCCTTAGCCGCTCGCTGTTCGGATAAGCGTCGCGCGCTTGCTTGATTTGAGCCAACATACCATTGTAATAATGCTGTCGGCAGTGCCACTCGATTAAAGCTATGTATTCCGTTTCATCCATTTTGTCTCTGTCTTATATCTAAGTCATCTGAATCTCTCTAAATCTGTCCTAGAATAAGATATATGTGTTAGAATCTTGAAAATATAAATTATAATTCTTAATATTTTTCTGAATCCTTCTAATGCAAGAGTTAAAATCTTTTAGCAAGAATGTAGATATTAAGATAAGAATGTAGATATTACTTAATAAAACAGAATTTTCAGCGTCGAATAATTATTTTCGAATGTATATAAATTAAAAATAATTATTTTTATCAACTACGTGGAAATCTCTTAATTTTCGGATTTTGAAAACTTAAATCAGATCAAAATAAATTATCAAATTTTTCGTACTCTCATGTTCTATTCATATTTCATTAATAATAATTTATTTGTACATGTTTCATTTTTTTAAATATTTATTTTTACATATAATCTTTTTTTACTTACGTTCACAGCGTCCAGCCGTGAAAAGCACCGCGATTTACATTATCGCGTAGCATACAAGAATACCACCGTTTGTGGTATTCTTTCATTTGCTTTGAATGTGATAATTCCTGTTTTTTACAATTTGTCGCTCACATTTTGTTAATAATATCGGAGCAATAAGGCGAAATCGACGAGCAAAAGCGAGACAGATAGGTTAAGTCACATCTGTTGACAACGCCGTTGCCGTGGTAACTGCATATGTACCTGTCTGTACTCGTCCCTCGACGTCCCAATCCGTCATTCAAATTATTGAATTTTTTTTAAACTTCAATTTTGGAACTAACAAATTAATTGATGCGATTTCAAAGCAACAATGCAAGCTTCTTTTCTTTCTGACGGATATCTAAACTTTAGATTCTATTATCCGGAAAGAATTACTTTCAAGCGTGAAGACATTCTTAATGCACATTATAAATTTGTACATTATATAAATATAATAATATAAAAATAAATATAATAACTATTTGGTGATTATAAAATAATTCAATAATTATCAAGCGTTGATGAACAATCTGAATATTAATCCGCATGGCGAAAATATAAGAATTATTATAAAAAATAGTATTTTATCTTGAGGCGAGCACGCAGAGTAGAGAAAAAAATATTTGTATATAGAGATTTCAAAAATCTATTATTTTAACGAACTATTTTTACATATCTTAATGTATACTTAATAATCCATGCAACGCACACCGAAATCAATTGGTGTGTTAAAATTTTACATTAGTTTACATTCGTACACATTCGTAAATAGTACATTTTTTTAGCAATAAATAAAGCTGTTTTAACTAAAAAAGTATCGAGACGATAGGATTAGGTTGATATCGAAACTACCCTTCTTCGGCACCTTCTTGAAGACTTCTAGCGAGACATTGGTCGTCCGCTTTACGGACCTAAAATTTCAATTGAGCAATTTTAAAAAGATCATCAATCATATTATCTTATTGTACAATTCAATGCTTTCAAATTTCTGACCTACGGATTTTTCAATATCTTGTAAGATACGCAAAGAGAACTCACCGTACGTTGTCTATGTGTTTTACATCATACTTCTTGCAGAAGAACTCGGACAAATTCTCGAGAATAGGCTCGCTATGCAGCGCGATGAATTGTTCCCGGCAAATCTGAAGATTGAGATACATTAAAGCATCACAACTTCATTCATATTTTTAATAGTATATATATGTTTCCGTATTATTTTTTACCTTGTTCATGATATCCACTGTGCACGGATGAGTCCAGAAACAATCGTGCACTGACATAAACGTAATGCCCGCTTGTTCGGAATACAAACTCGTCAACATCATATGAGATGAGTCTAACGAATGAATAAAATTCGGCGCGAAGGCATTCTTTTGTTTCATAGTATCCAGCTTCCTGTAAATGGTATTTGTATGATGTATCATTTAAAAAAGCGATACGTGTGCGCAAAACACGAAAGACATGCATGACAGTTTCGAAAAACTTCAGGGGTTGATATAATTCAGAAATAAAAATTGTTGCGCTTATTAAACACATTAGTGTTAATATATTTACCTGGGAACCTTACTTTTCTGAAAAATAATCTTATTCCGTTTGGAATAGGGTTGTAAAACCGGAAGACCCAACGGCGTCACCCACTGTATATGCTGGTTGCATCTGGTCGTGATCGCGCGAGCACAATCGATGAACCAATTCTGTATCTCCTTCGCGCTCCCAAACATGTTCTGAAGGGCTGCGAATGTTTTATCAGTCAGGTACACGCTGCCGCCCCAAATATATTTTTCATCAAAATCCTTCAGATTACTGAGCTGTCTGGCGATCTGTAGTCTAGCACCGAATTTTGTCACACCATACACGGTGGTCATTACAGTTTGTTTCATGACCTTCCTACTGACGTTTCCCTCTAAGGCCTTAGCTACTTCATTGCCAGCCTTCGCGTCCGTCTTCCTGTATTCGTCGACCATATTAGCAACAACGCTGTATACATCCTGTGGAGTGTCCGAAGGATACAAGTTCACGCTTTTCGCTCCTATCACATCTCTTCCGAGCGCGGCATAATGCTGCAATCCGTTGCAGCTACCATCTTGGTGAATGGGAAGCCGGCATATGTACTCCTCCACATTCGGGGATTGTAGAGCATTATCTATCTCCTTGAACGCCGCCAAAGTTTGCCACGGTTCGTCGGCTTCAGCCCACCACATTTTTCCAATCAATGGATTTCTCGCGCTGTCGATGATCAGATCTAACATCTCATTTGCGAATTCCAATCGTTTATGCATCGGTTCCCGCTTCTTCAAACCGGTCATATTTATGGCGTGAATTTTTAACCAATCCAGACCTCCAGGTCCCAAGGGCTTCCCCTGTGCAAACATGAGGATCGCGCGGCCTAAATCCGAACTGAGATGAGTTAAATGAGGTGGCACCGGGTATGCTCTACCTCTAAAATCCAAATTGTGTGGCATCCAGAATGTCTTGTCTCTGAAATGATTGGCGAGGGACAATTTGTAGAGGCAGTCACACCATAGCGCATGCATCTCGTTCTTTCTACGTTTAAGTTGAAACAGCATTTTCGCTAATTCTGTATTATTTTCCTTGTTTGTTTTGTTCACAGACATCTCGGGCAACGACGACGCCATAGAGGACGGTTGAGGTACGTTCAATTTCTCCGAGCCTCCCTCTCGAAAGATTTGAATCAAGAGATCCAATATAGGCACGTTGATCCTCCAAGGAATTGAACCGAGTTGATTCAAGGAGTCGAGCACTGGATACAGCTGTTGTGTCGGCGTGTTCTTCAACAGACGTGATGATTTCATATAGGGATCACGAGCGAATATCACTTTGGAAAACAGATAACCACCGGTATTTACATCGACCCAAGGACGCGGTGGGGAATACATCGGCAAAGAGATCGTATTGAAGGGTAACGACTCTGGGTGTGAATCTTTATAGAGCCTGTGTATGTGAGGATGCGGTTTAATTTCCTCCATTAAATATTTATTAGAATGGATTCTGAATAGCAGATAAAACGCAGGTATGAGCCGTTCAGGTGCGTCGGGACTGGAGGCATATGGGATTTTCACGTCATTCACAATGATATTATATAAGAATTTGCCAACATTTATCATAGTATATTGAGACCACTCCGGTATAGTCATTTCGCAAGAGATGCCAGCCTTTTTTGCTTCCTGAACCAGCTGTTGCCATTTAATACGCCCATTGCTGATTCTATCAGCGGGATTCATCTGCATGTACCACTTCAAATATTCTTTATAAATTTGAATCGAATTTTCTATGATATTATCCTTCATTTTTCGCTGAAATTCATATTTTTTATAAATATGCAGTCCCAGCATTAGATAAAGTTGTGTCATGGTACAACTGTACCCCTCGGAAAATTTAGTCAAATACTCAATTTCGTTCATGATCGCATTAATGTATTCTTTTTTGGGTAGCACTTGCAGAAACGGATATAAGATTTTTAAATCGATTTTCAATTTTGTTTCTTTCTGTTTGAGATAAGATAAATTTCTCTCAAAAGCCTCAGTCACAGTTGATTTCCAGATCTTCTCCCATTCCGTGATCCGTTTGACAGCTTGCTCTCTAACATCAGGATTCCCAGTAAACAGTACAATATTTTTCACATTTATCTTGCACTGCTTCTCCATTCTAATCTGCCTATCTACCATATCCCGCAGCTCTTCCATAGTTACTACTCCCTTCGCCGGGCTCTGATAATTATTATTCGTTGTTAGATTGTTCAGCAAATTGCATTTGTGCGCCATGTTGATGTCTTTATAATAAACACGGTATTGCGGATCCAATGATTTGATAGTCTGAAGAATGGTATCAGTTTGCGTTTTGTTTATCTGCGATGTGTTTATTATTTCGTTAAAAGTGATGCCATTATAGTTCATATCTGCTATAATTTCTGTTGCACTTTCTGAAAGAAATTCCGTTCATATCTTAGATTCGTTGCAAAAAATAATTTGTACTTTTATATATTTCGTTATATATAATTACATGTTTCTAAAAAAAAATCTAAATTTTTAAAAAATATATATCAAATATATACCAGATCATCACCACAAAATAACTAAGAGAATAAATAAAAAAAATTAAGAAATATTTTGGATTTATAAAAAAAAAATGTCGATAACATTCTATAAAAAATGTAATATATAAAATTTTGTATTAAAATATAATACATTATATTTTAAAGATTATTTTGCTATTTTTCCTATATCTTATGTACTTATTATTATTTTTAAGAAACATAATATATTTACCTCTTTTCTTTTCCTTATTTTTCATTTTGCCGATTATTTCGAACATAAGAGCGTACGTTTGAGAGTTTGGCTTGACAGAATCTGCTTTTATTATTCTATAGAGTTCGAATGACTTTTCCACTTGTACTTTAGTAACATGGTTTTTTAATAACAGATTATAGAGTGCAATAGTGGAAACTTTGCTGTGTTTAAATTGATCTTTATTCATACTGAGCATCTTAAAGGCCTTATGTGGCATATTGATTTGTATATATACGTCCATATGCGCCAATAATTTAGACACCATGTTTTCTTCAAAAAAATAATTCTCTGAGTCAATTGTTTCATATGTAAAGGGAATATTGGCATATGAATTTGAAGCCGTGTCTTCATATTCAGGTATCTGCGTACTAAAAAAAAAACATACCATAGATAAATCTAAATATCTTATTATTCGGGCAGGAGATAGTAAATAACGAAAAGAAGAAATGGAAGAATGAAAGAAATACTTCAGAAGTTTAATAGAAAAGAGATTGTGAAAAAAAAGGAGAGAGCTAGAGGACAAAGAAGAAATAGCAAGTAAAGAAATAAGAAAAATAATAAGAAAATTAAGCATGGCAAAAGTAATGAGAATGGACGATCTAATGAAATACGAGAGAAAGAAATAAAAGAAAAGAATGATTTTGAAATATTATAATAGAATTTGAAAGAACAAAGAAAACTGGAATAATATTGTAATATTACTCACTCTCTTAATAAATAATAAATTTTTGTTCATTCATTCTTATATATTATTCCAATTAATTATATTTACAGATTATTCCAATTAGTCTTTATTTATAATTACTTACTATGTGTCATCCTGACTTTCATCTTTCGTATCAATTTGCTGCAACATATCCAGGAAGGAAGAATCCTTAATCAATGTAATCTGATCGTTTATTCCAGATGCTTTTAAATCCTCTATAACTGCAAATGTGTCATCTAATTGCTCATCAGATTTCTTAAGTACAGCATTTGCATCGATTGACTTATCATCCTAAATGTTATGTCAATATATTTAATATTTGTGGGAAATTTACATTCATAAACATCTTATGTTATTCAGATTCCAGTCTAGTTAAGATGCAATAGATGCAGATCATAAAATTTAATCTACTTACAAGAAAATTTTTTTTGAGCATAGTTTTTTTATTGATATCTATTGCTTGTGTCGTAATTGTCTCCTTATTAAGACGAAAATTAGGGATCTCATGCAGTTTGTCTAGTGTAATATTAGGCTGATCAACCAAGACAGACACTTGAGCGGAACTCAATTTATGCACTGCTGCCTTCTTGTTGCTGGTTGTCTGGTTTGTTACTAATAATAATTTTAAAAAACAATTATTATTCGTTATTTTTTTATATTATATGTTGCTTTCTATATTATAATTTCAATTTAATATACCTTCCAATAATTCTGCATATTTTTTTGAACGACGCTTGATTTTTTTTTTTCATTAGGAGTTTGTAGTTCAACTATATCAGTCGTGTAATAGCGAATCGGCGTACATCTCATTGCTGAAAATACACAAAATGATTTATAATAGAGTTTACAATAGAAACAATCTCATTCGATGTTTATGTAATCTTCTATTTTACAAGTCTGTTTGAAATATTTTGAGCTATAAATATGTGTGTATGTGTGTGTGTGTATGTGTGTGTGTATATATATCTAATGAAAGAAAAATTGATCACAGCTCCTGTTAACGTATGACATCGTTACATTCTGTTAACTAACGTGAATATAAATCAGGGCGAGACATCCTGTGTCAATACACAGTCCAGTTCTTGTCTTTCATGACTGGCACGAAAGAAAAAAAGTTGTAGAAAAATAAGAATCGAATCGAGATAAGGAAAGTCCGATTTCACAAACCGGCGAGGCATTATTTACAAACGCATGTTCCACAAACAAGACGTGTCTCGAACACGTGTTCACGTACCGCGAGGTGGTCTTAGGTGATGAAAATTGCAGAACGAGCACAATTGCCTCTGGTATTGGATGGTCGACCCCGTTGACATGATACGCGCATTCTGCGTCGAGACGGCGCGTGTCCTCAGGAAATTGAACATTTTTATGGTGATCCTGGGAGAGTCATCGAGTACAACGAAAATCAATAGCAATTAGCGGCGTAACGCGCTAACCTCTTCGCACGAGCCGCCATAGTCGTAAAACATAATTGAGTGCGCGTTAGAAAAGGAGGGGGGGGGAAGCGTGCGCATTTCATCCCCCACTCTTTCGCATTCGAATCCACAGGAGTGTGTTCGGAAATAATATCCGAATGTACCGAAATATCATTTCATCTTTGTCCATCAAATGTTAAATAAGGATGCATCCGATAATGGTACATCCAGATTTTTTTAAATCTAATTTAGTATAACTGAAGCATTAATCATGTATCTTTGATTTCTAATAGCATTTTTGATTGCAATAGGTTTTGATTGGAATTAATACACTTTCTGCACTTGCTTTTTTCGTTCTTCCTTTTTTTTAACGCTCGCGCATTTTATTTCTATCTCGCTTTAGGTGCAATAATTAGACTATGGCGGCATATCCTGGATTAAAAGCTACTGAAGTCGAAAATGATATAAGTGCTGACCACGTGAGCATTTTGCAAGTCAAGAATAAACAAAAAAATAGTAAGTATTATAAACACCGTAGTTACTTAGACCCAAATTTTAAATCTCCTTTTAGCGATAAAAATAAAGCTCTAAAATGGCTTTTGATGAGTTTCTTTGCTGAATCAGAGACATTTTTAGAGACACTTTTGATCAATGAAAAAGAGTTCAGAATATGGTATACTTACTTTTTCATTTTCATAAATTTTCATAGCAAGTATGTCCTTTATGTTTAATTTCATTGAGTCCAAATAAAAACATGCTGCGCGAGTATATTTATGCGATTACGCATTTTTTCGAAAAACGTTTGAAAAATATTTAAAAAGTTTTCGAAAAATGTTTGGAAAAAAATTCGTAAAAGAATGTCCGAGAAAAGTTCAAAAATAAATTCTGAGATAATTCTAAGATAAATCTGAGAAATGTCCAAAATACATAATGCTAGGCTGTCTCTTCGCGCAGACATTTTCACACGCTCATTTTCAGATATTTATAAATTCATTTCTCTCATTTTCATTAACTATCGTGAAAATTGCAAAATGATACAAGACTTTAAGCAATTGCAAAATGATACAAGACTTTAATTTAAGTATTTTGATATTTGTTTCTACCTTGACTTAAAGACTTCTTTTTTTCTTTTGAATGTGCAAATAAAATTATTTTTCAAATATATTTTACATAATGTCCTTATTATATTTTTTATTAACAAGGATAAATGAAAGGACAAATAAAAATTAATAAATCTATGGCCAATATTCAAAGTCCATTCTTACATCAAGATCACCTTAAGTAATATCTTAAGATGCAAATGCAGTCTTGTAATTGGTTTATGACATCTTAAATCTGTAGTTAGGCAATCTTACAATTAAATATGAGAATAGACTAAGGCTGCATTCCGGAAACGCGCTATTAGCATTATCATTCTATCTTTATCGCTCATTAAATGTAAATCAAGGAGAAAAATGCGCTAATAGCGCGCTTCCCGAATGCAGCTTATGAATATCAGCTTATGAATCAATGAAAAAAGATCAAATTAAATCAATCAATTAAAAAATTTCAATAGTCTATAATATTTTATAGTCAGTTTTATTATATGATGTTTTAAAAAATTTAATAATTATAATTTAAATTTATTTATTGTTTCAGGTTCAGTCAACCAAATTCTTTATTTGCATTATCATTTGAAGTTTATTCCACAATTAATTTATCACAATCTACTTTTTCTTAATAATTATAAAAGATAATTTTGCAACTGCCCTCTCTCAGTTACTTCTTTAGAATAGTTTTTTTCTTTTTTCCTCATTCGCAAGAATTACATTATTCCTCTGCATCACGCACACGTGCTTGACGCGGTTTTTATCATCCGTAAAAACGTAATTCTAATTTTACGGATGATAACCTTCTATCTTTTTATCAATGTAACCGCGGATACGCTGATTTTTGTGGATAATTTTCTCTCTCTTTTTCTCTCTCTCAACGTTGAATTTGTTTTACAAAATTGCTATGAGTTTTATTATTAATTAAAGATGTTTATCAAATTAACGCGGAAAGAATCTATCTTTCTATTCAATTTTAGCTTATGTTTTAGTAACTCTGGAATTTTCTAAATTGAAAATTTAATTAAACTGGGGAAAATATCGAATATTAATTATTTTTAAAATATATACAGTTTCCAATAAACTTCCAAAGTATGAATATATACACACGCGCGCGCGCATGCACACGATAAATTTTACAAAAGTAAAATTATATAAATAATACAAAAAGAGTTTAATATCACAAAAATAACATGATACCAGCGGTAAACGTATTTTTAATAATAATTTTTAAGTTGATAACTTTTAAGTTAAAAACATCCATATTTATATAAAAAAAATTTAAAAAGATACAATAGGCTAAAGAAAATTAAAAATTGCAGCGGATTGGCATGAATTGAATCTATGTAAAACTTGATGAACTTTTGTTCCATCTAGAGCTCGTAAACATAATATGAATCATAATGTGAAACGTAATATGAAAACCAAATCTAACATTCTAACGCAGCAAATCATTGAAGGCGATATTGCTTGTAGAATCACAATAACATTAGGATTCTTCTCTAAAAAATCGCAACGTAACGTCGGTATACTAAGCAATAAAATATTTTTGCAATAAAAATGTGTTGCAATAAAATATTTTTGCAATAAAAATGCGTTGCAATAAAATATTTTTGCAATAAAAATGCGTTGCAATAAAATATTTTTTCATAGTGATAAACTATGTTTGTCGGCAATAAATACACACACACACACACACACACACACACACACACACACACACACACACACATATATATGTATGTATGTATGTATGTATGAATATATGCCATTGTGCCTGAATAAGTTGAAAATACATTATTGTTGTATGATCTATATGCTGAAATTTTTTTTAGCCTCAACAAACCGCGACGTCGATAGTTCCGCCCGTTAAATTGCCGCCAGGAGAACCGGTAACAACGTCAGAAGCAGCAATGCGAGAACAGCTACTAAAAAAGCAACGAGAATTATTAGAATTACAAAAGAAGAAAATAGAGTTAGAATTATTGCAAGCTAAAGCGAGTTTAGAACAACAGCAGAGACAATTTGACAAACAAGCTGGAAATTTGAAGACAGAAGTAGTAAGTTATAGTCAACGTATGAATGGATAAGACTCTAATTTTTTCTCGTAATTTAACATACTATTTTCCCAGATTTTCTTTATACATACAATAATATAATTTTCTTTTTTTTAATTACAGTCAACGATTGTGCCTACCACAAATGCTACGCCAATTACGGAGACAACGACGCAGGCAAAACTTATCGCACCTGTAGTGCCAAATCAAACTTCAAAACAAGTAGCAAAACAAGTAAGTTAGATACAACTTTCTCTCTTATATATATTTAATTATTGAATATTGACTGTTGTAACTAAAATTTAATTTACTTGCAGTTTCCAGCAGCGACAGCATCGCTTTTAAAGAACGTAGGTGCGAATACCGGTCCACGAATCGCACCAGCTAGTAGTATAGCAGTAGCATCGGCTAAGCCAGTCTCGCGAGATCCACGTTTGAAGCCTACTCCTGCTGTCCAGGATATGATAGTGCCAACAGTAGATCCACGACAGCGACCGGGTACGACTAGTCCGAAAGAATCGCGGAGTGAAGGTCAAGCACCGCAAGTGGCAAATACAATTGTAACAAACCAATTAAAACAGCAGATACTTTCGAAATCGGCTGTAACTATCAACAAGTCTCCAGCGAATTCTGCCGGATCTGATAATCCGACGTTATTAAACGTTATTAATAACAATCATACTGATACGAACAATAGTAATAATAAAAATTTCAGTAGTAATATAAATAAAGATGCTCTCTTGCATCGAGTAAGTCAAAAAAAGACCCTCGATTAAATATTAATAGTAGTGGTAACCTGAACAGTAACAATTCCAAGAGCGGCCAGAATTTACCGGTTTGCAGTAATAATTCTTCAGTATTGTCAACGGGCAATCGAGGAAGTGGAGGCGGTGATACCAACAATAAATCGAAAGATTCGAAGAGCTCGAACTCGCGTGGCTCTTCCTCTTTAATCGATAAATCTTCCACTTCCTCTAAATCTTCGCATAGGAAATTAGGCAATAAGTCGCGATCTAAACAACCTCAAATGTGTCCGAATAAGATTCCGAAAGTCGACAGAGATTCGAGTCCGGTTAGGTCAAAATCTCGCGAAAAAGACAGCGGAGACAGTTCACCGTCCTCACGTACCTCTCCACAATCCTCCTTCCAAGCCTCTAAAAATCGCAAGAAGAATACAAAATCGAGAAAGCGTAGTCCAAGTCCTCCGTACAGAATACCCAGGCGTAACGATGCGAAATCAAGCTCGAGCTTGAACAATTCCGGTGGTGTTACTGAGGAGGAGCAATCTGGTTCATTGATAGTATCTCCTCCTCATCCACCCGCATTCAAAGAGATCAGGCCGAATGCTAGACAGAGAAATTATGTAAGACGAAATAAAGACGGCAGTCTTAGTCCGGAACGTTCTCCAGCCAGTGCTGGAAATGCTCAAATCGGTGCCGAGCCAACTTTGGAATCTTCTAGCAAGGATGAAGATCTCAGGGCACCACTGTCTCTACCTGGCGCCCCTGTTTCCGTACCCGAAAAGAGTGAGTCAATAGCGTTTAGCAATATATATTTATATGTAACAATACATAACACTACTCGTAAACGTCTTGTCATTTATATTTTAATTCTGCATGTCAAGAATATCTAAGAATTTTCCTACGTGCTTTCTCTAGTTAGTGTTAAAAATTCTATCTTGAATATTTCCTCAATAAAGGTGACTACAATGTTTGCCTCATCTCTGGTAGCAATTGCAAGACTATAACAGGTGATATCTTTAAAAAGCATCTTTACCATACTAATTTCTCTTGCGCTCGTAATTATACAATATACAGTTACTTGGATGAAATCTCTCAACGTGCACTTCTTCATTAGGAGAATATTTCCCGACAATATATCTAATTCTTTGAAACGCATACTAGGAATATATAGTAAAAAACAATATTATAGAATTTATAAATTTGTCTTGCATGAATTACTTTATCTTGAATTCTTTTTCAGAAGAAGATTTAGATCTACGAGTATTACCGTCTGTTAACACTAACAAAAGACGCAGTGAGGAACATATAGAGGCGACTCCACCGAAGAAAACCAAAGCTGAAAAGTTTGATGCGTATGTATCATAATTATATAAATATAAATAGAATGTAATTATAAATATAAATTACATAAATAGAGTGTATAATTGATAAAATTTCCTTTCAATTTTATAGATTATTCGGTAATGAAGATGTGGATTTGCGTACTTTGACGCATCCTAAAGCGGGTCGGCCTCCGACACCTCCACCGCCCGTGATCTCCGGGGAGGATGGAAAAGATAGTTGGGCGAAATTAAAGACGCCTACGAAAAATGACAGAGATAAACAAGTTAACAATACCGATGATAAGCGGGAGAGAGATCGTAATCGGGATAGATTGGGCCGTCTCAGATTGTATAATAAGCTTCCGGATGATCCTAAAGAGAGAAGGAGAACATTGTCGAACGAAGAACAGGATGTCAGACCGGGACGCAGAGGTCGGGAGAATGATAAACCCGAGAGAAACGACGATAGAAATATTGAGATAATAATGAAACAAGCTGCCGAACAATTGAATCAAGGTTCGATCACGAAGATGCAGTATAATACTCTGATACAAGAAGTTTTACATATGAGTGAGGATCGTAAACTGCGAGCTGCGCAGCGTAAAGAAAAAGAAGGTGGTACTGTAATATGGGAAAAAGGTATTAATATAGATATGTCTGGTCCAGGAGATCGCGCAGCAACATTCAGTCCGTCCAATGATAAGGAAGTAATGCGGGGCAAGGAACATCCAATACCACGCAATCCGAACGGTCCGAGATGGCAGAATCAGCCATGGCAACAACCATGGGCGCATCCACCAGGACCACCGTATGGCGGGCCGCAACACTTTAATTCGGACATGAGACCTGTCGGTCCTCCTTGGCAGAATCCACGACATTTTCCGATGCGACCGGATTATCAGTATCATGGTAGTTTTAATCATAACATGGGATCGAATCCGCGTTTACCTGGTATAATGGGTCCGATGGGCCCGAACGGTCCGATCGTGCCGAATATTTTACCAAATGGCCCGATGGGACCAATGGGACCCATGCCAAATCCTTCTATGACGATAGGATGTCACCCCGCGATAATAATGAACAACGGACCGATGACAAATCTTATGACAAATATGCCACCTCTAGCGTCTGGTCGAAACGTATCGCCAAATACATCTTCTAAATACGATCTTGAGGATAACGATCAGAATTACGGTAATACGATAATGAAGAATCCGAACTCACACAGCCGCGAATTGCCATCGCCGGATCCAAAGCTGTTGACCGAAATCGCAAGAGACACCATGAAGTCTATAAACATTGACAATATACCACGAGAGATTCGTTATTATGGACAGACGGGTGTAGTGTTCATGAATTGGGATGATCCGCGAGAGATTGGTTTCCAGGATGGCATAAGAAGAATATTGATTGATGAGAAAGATACGATAACTTGCGCATTTAATGATCAATACAAGGAATTCATGTACGAGGGAGAAGTACATAGGTGAATGCTTCATATTTAGATATTGTGTATTTATATTTATGTTCTTATTTTTATTCATTTAGTCTGGCTTTAGATACTTAATAAGTTAAATAAATATTGTTTGACAATTAATTTATTTTTATATTTAAATATTTCAACAAATATTAATATCGTTAATTATATTTTTTCAGGATTAAATTGGGTGCACCTACTCGAGAATTGTATGTAGATGATTGCTGGTATGAGTGTTACTTTGGCGGTATGCCGATAACAATCGAACTCGGCGGTAAGAAAGTCAGTGTAAAACTAGAGGGTCCTCCGCCACAAGTCAAGATCGGCACCGTGAAGCGAACCGATCTTGTAGTCGCGAAAATTAATCTCATTATCAATGCGAGAAATATGGTACCAGTATTCTTAGATGCGAAACCACAGATGTAAGTATATTTCATATAATGTGAATTGTTTGAAAAAGTCAATAATAAATACATGTTTGTCATCAAATCATGTCTGCTTCTTTGACAGATTTGAAATCGAGGGAAAGCCTCATACGCTAGAATTTACAGATGCATTACAAACGGTACATTTAAATGGACGACCATTTAAAGTTGAATTTGGAGGATTACCTAAACCTATTATTGTTAGAGACAAAAAGCATTTCATCAGATTTTCAGTATTACCAAGAGGAGTGCGTGCTGGTCATGTTAAGATCACTGGAATGAGAGGCGAAGGTCCCATCGAGTCGCCGCCACCGGCGACGTCTGTCGTAACTCAAAAACCGAAGGTAGATGTTACACCTACGCCAAGCCAAGTGCCGACCACGGAACATGAATCCACATCGCAAGATGGTTCAGATTTCACTTCCACTTCAAAACCAGGTAAAGAATTCATCTCGCGTATTCTCTATATATACGTTATGAATATTTAACATTTAATAAACATTGATAATATTAATTTCAGATCTGCAATTAGATATATTATCATCAGTTTTACCATCAGCTATGGCGCCGTCATCAGGTTTGTCGTATCAAGCCGAACCCGTTGAAAATCCGCCTGTACCTGCACCGACATTACCATTGAATATGAGCGAATTGTTCCAAAGGTTAGTCGAGACTGGTATCGTTCCTAATCTCATGGAACAAAAGAAACAAGAGGAAGAAGAGAAGAAAGAGCCTGAGATTACTCCAGTCTCCTTCGATAAACCGGAGACTCTTAAGATGTAAGTTATCGATGATATTGCTTTTGTTAATCACAATGTTGGCGAGGCAATGTCAAGTTTTAAATATTAAACGCTAATTTTCTTTTTGTAGTAAACAACCAGCAATTGCTACAGCATTATATAGTGGCATGCAGTGCAGTTCTTGCGGCGCTAGATTTGCGCCTGAATTAGCTACTCGATACAGTCATCATTTGGATTGGCACTTTAGACAAAACAGACGCGAACGTGACTCCGCAAGAAAAGCGCATTCACGACCATGGTATTATGACGTCAGCGATTGGATACAATTCGAAGAGATCGAAGATTTAGAAGACAGAGGTTTGTACATTTTTTTTCCTTTCTTTAAATATTTGCTTAGAAAATTCCAAAATTCGAAGACAAATTCCAAGATGCCAAGCAAGACAAATTATAAGCAACAATATTTAGTTTAATAGCGAGATGTTGAAATATCTGAATAATTTGTAATAACAGCAAAAACTTGTGTTCAATTCCTCAAT